TCTTCAGGTCTTTAAGGCTTCAGGTGCTATATCTTTTGGTAGCTGAGCACCATCAGCTTTCTTCACCATACTTGCTTGTGCACCCATTGTCTTCATTGACTTCAGGTGTTATATCTTTTGGTAGCCAAGCATCATTCGCTGTCTTCACCACATTTTCTTGTGCACTCTTTAGGGAAATTTTTCATGTAAAACAGTTCTAGTTCACTACTGATTAATAAGTAAGCCCATGCTTAATTTGTTTTTCGGGTACTCCACCCTTGCCAGGGGATGTAAATTTGTAAAGAGGCTGTGATCTTTATAGGAAGTTATTTGGAGTTGGGAGAGAGGCAGATGATACTCATCTCCAGAAGCAGAATCTTTGATGTGAAAAGTGTGGACTTGCTCGCTGCATTTTATTAAGGAAGCACAAGTAAGCCCATGCCTGCCTACCTACCTTGCTTAGTGAGTCACCTGACAGTGGGTGGCTATCTGAGTTTTCATGTTTATGTATCACGCGTGCGTTTGTAGTTGTAGAAACAGGATGGCCTTTGTGTCTCATGCCAGTTACCCATTGGCAGGTACACAGTCAAGGTTCAGCGAGAGCTCGAGCTGGATGAATGTGCACTCCGGGCTCTGAAGGAAGATCGTAAGCGCTTCTTATATAAAGCGATTGAAAATTACATCAACTGCTTATTAAGTGGAGAAGAGCATGACATGTGGGTGTTCCGACTCTGTTCTCTCTGGCTGGAAAATGCTGGCGCTTCTGAAGTCAATGGCATGATGAAGGCAAGTCGTTGTTCAACGCAGTAGTCTAGCCTTTGCTTTGCAAGATTGGACCTAGCCTCTCGGCGTCAGGAACCCACTCCACAGCAGATGAAGATGCTATCAGGGGACTTCAAAAGCATCATGGGATACTGTCATTGTATTGCATGACATTTTGAAGCCCCCTGTGTCCCTAGCTCTCAGCTCATTGCTCGCACAGAGATAGGTGATAAGCTCTCACGATGGAAGTTGTCAAGGTGACAACATTTAAGTCTTTCTCTTCCTCTTTCATTGTAATAGGACATTGCCCAGAAAGCTAGATTAGGGGGACTAAAAAGCAGCTTTTAAATGATGGACCCACAAGTGTGTGCCCTCTTCTTCTTCTGCTTTCCTAGGACTTTTACAGTGAATTCTATACAGGGGGGGAGGGGTTCAGAGAAATATCAAGGCAACAATATTCTATAAGTGTTTATATTAAAATTTATTGTAGTGATGATTTATCAGTTGATATTGATGCCAACTCACAGTAGCCACGTGTCAGAGTAGAATTGTATTCCGCACCAAGGAGTTAAAGCAATTGATCTATGTTACCTGTGTGTACACCCAGGGACCCCAGTCCTGGAACACGCAGTAACAATACTGACACTTAAAATTATGCTTACACAATGTCTATTTCAGCCAATTTGAAGCTCAAAAGTAAAATGGTTCAGGATGTAAAAAATAATAGACTCAAATAGGGAGTCTCTGCTACTAGTAAATGTTAAGATCTGTTAACGTGTGGCATCTAGAGACAAAATAATGGTTGCATTTTACTGCACATTGACTTCCCGTGAGTCATGGTCAGGAAAGCCCTCGTGTCCCCTCTGTCCTCCTTGGAGTCATTGGGATATAAGCAGATATAAGCAGTGCCAAGTATCCAGCTGTCCTGAGTAGAGTTTAAGACCAAATACTGTAACGTGCACACTGGTGAATCCGTTTAGAGTACCCATCAACAAGGCTTTCAGATAAGATAATTGACTGTGAAAATATAGCTAAGAAGGTGTCTGAACTGGACAGTTTTCTTAAACCACCGCGAACACACTGTCACGGCATCGACTCCCAGCTCCTAGCAGCCTTGTATCTACTAGTGTTGTAGAATTATCTTAGACTCACGTATTTACTTAGGTATAAGAATACTTAAAAAGCAATGTTTCTGAATTTTGTGGTTTTTTCAAATTGCAGCGCGTTGGAATGAAGATTCCGTCACATAAATGTTTGCCTCTTATGTACCAGTTGGCTGCTAGAATGGGGACCAAGATGATGGGAGGCCTAGGGTTTCATGAGGTCCTCGACAATGTAAGCGAGCCTGAAACCAAAGTAAACGAGCTTTCATGTCCTTACTCGGGGGAGTTTCCACTTGAATGAAAAGATAATGGAATTTTTCTACAATCTTTCTGAAAACCCCTTATAGATGGCATTATGCTACCATTACAGGCTAAGAACTGGAAGTATAGAAAAGTTTTTCTAATATTTATTAAACTGTTTAAGGGCAAGAATGACATTCTCTTATTTCATCTCACTACACATAAGTTACTTAGTTTCTCTCTTTTCCCTTCCGCCTCTCTCTCTCTTTCTCTCTCTCTCTCTCTCTCACACACACACACACACACACACACATTTCACTCACTGCATTAAAAAATAAAATTACACATTTTAATATTCAGCAAAATGAAAGCAACCAAGTTTTCATTCTAGTATGGACTTTCTATTTTGTTTGTTTGTTTACATAAAACTGATTGTTTTTCATTTTCTCATAGCTCATCTCCAGAATTTCAATGGATCATCCCCATCATACTTTATTTATTATACTGGCCTTAGCAAATGCCAATAAAGATGAATTTCTGACCAAACCAGAGGCAGCAAAAAGGAGTAGAATAACCAAAACCACACCCAAACAAAACTCTCAGCTTGATGAGGTATTCAGATTAAATAAACCTTTTTGTTGTATATTCATTCTTTCCCAGAATATTCCTATTTTAAGTCTTAGGGAGTATAAGAATATGTACTGCTTCCACATATAACCCCCTCCTTTGGGGACAGACAACAGAAAAGTGGGTGAAGGGAGATGTCGGACAGTGTGAGACATGAAAAAATAATAAAAATGTATAAATTGTCAAGGGTTCGTGAGGGAGTGGGGCAGAGAGGGAGCAGAAAGAATTAGCTGATACCAAGGGCTCAAGTAGAAAGAAAATGTTTTGAGAATGATGGTAGCAACAAATGTACAAATGTGCTTGACACAATGGATGTACGTATGGATTGTGATAGAGTTGTATGAGGCCCTGATAAAATGAGTTAAAAAAAAAAGAAATTTAGTAAAGAATAATACTGGAAAGAAAAACAAAGAATTTGTACTGCTGACAATATTCAGTTTTTAAATTCTTTGTTAAGGTACTAAACTTCATTTCTTTCCTTCTTTCTTTTTTAGAAGTCATTTCTGAATATTTCTCAAAGCATTAAGGAAAGAACCTGCTGGCCCTGGGTTCGCTCCCACACACAGAGAACTCTGTCGGGCAGGGTAGAACCTGCTCCACGGGGTCTTCAGGGTTGTAAATCTGTACAGAAGCAACTCCTGCATCTTTCTCACAGGGCAGCTGATAGATTTGAACTTCTGCCTACTGTGCGACCTGCGCCCCTTCTCTAAACATAGGAAATACCAATAGGATTTTACTTTTTTCCCCTTAAAGCGATGAGCTAAGGGGAAAAATGATTTAAAGTCATTAAGTCATTGACTTTTGAGGCTACTATGCTTATGATTTTGCATCTGAGGAATGATTTAGGTATATGCATAAATCCGAATTTTTCATTTATTAAATGGAATAGTTTAAATGTGTGTACTTCCTCTTGTAATGTTTTTGTTTCTTGTTTTTTCTATAGGATAGAGCTGCAGCTGCACGTAAAATAATACATGTTATCAAAAGTAGGAGACCCCAGATGGTCAGGAATGTTGAGGCACTTTGTGACGCTTATATTCTGTTAGCAAACTTAGATGCCACTCAGTGGAAGATGCAGAGAAGTATGTATCTGCAAGAATGAGTGCTGTTTTCTTGCTTGTTCCCTGTGGGCATGTGTACTAGAGGGTCTACAAGGTAAATCCCTGTGAAACCCCAGACAGTGCTCTGGTTGTCAATGAGAGAGGCCGATGATTACAGTTCACATGTTCACACGGACCCAAACACTCACGTGCTATATTAGGTAATTGCCTCATCACCGTCCAGTTATTTATTTTCACTTAATATTGGTGCAACTGACAGGTAAGTGCAATAAGTGGAGAGAGCATTGGTGGTCCCATGGGAGAATTCTCACCTTCAGTGAAGTACCCAGGTGTGATTCCCAAGCCGTGCTCCTGAAGCACAGCCACTGCTCATCGTCCATGGACGCTTGCGCCTGGCTATGACGCTGAGCAGGTTTCAAACTAAGACCAACAAAGAAGAAAGGGTTGGCAACCTACTGCCCCCCACAAAATCAGACCGTGAACACTCATGGGCTGCAATAGCTTGTTCTGACTATACATGGGGTCACCACGAGTCAAGTACGGGCTTGACAGCCAGCTAACAACAGCACGAAGCTAATATTTGTTTCTCCTTATAATCTGCTGGTACAAGTATGTGTTGTAAAGAATTGTATAGAAGAAAACCCACTAAAGTAACAGAGTAATTAAGAGTTTCCAAGATGGAATTGCTTTATTATTATTATTTTTAATGATATTGGTTATTTCACTATGAACCACTGCCTCCACAGGTTCTAGAATGCCTTATGTTTAATCCATGACATTTCCTGGTGGGTCTCTTTGAATAATTATAAGCTGCTGTAGTCTGGTTATGGGCTAATTTCTAAATGTGTTTACCAAGAACTTATACTTTTAATATATTCATTCCTCTGCCTTTTCAGAAACATATCTTCAAGTTTAAATTCCTATTACCTTAAAGTAAGGATAGGACGCTACATAATATTTCCCCTAATGAAACAAAGAATATTGTCACATCCTAAAGTCACTTGGTGATAAATTGACAGGTATAAATTCTGTTTGTGCTTTGCAAGCACTTACAGAGTTATTCTCAGGTTCTCAGCCTGGCCCCTCAGTGCACCTGGTCTAATTGCAGCTGCCACAGAGCGTGCATATCTGCAGGCCATGCTTCCTGTGGAAGCAGGTGTGCAGAAGCAAGCCCATTGCTCGGGCCCTGCCTTGCTATTTCTGCTCAGAAGCACAGAGTAGACTCTTTGAGTGTCATGGTGTCTTCTGAATGCTCTGCTGTATGTAACATCAGTACTGTTCCTTCTTAATTTGCGGGTGACACTAAAATCTCTTCGTTTTAAACGCAGAAGGCATAAATATTCCAACAGACCAGCCAATTACTAAATTGAAGAATTTAGAAGATGTTGTTGTCCCCACTATGGAAATCAAGGTAATTTAGAGTGAAATGTTTTGATTTTTTTTAAAATTAAACTATATTTCTCCTTATTTGATTACGCCATTTTACGTAGCTTCTCTTCTTAGTTGGTCAAAATTGGTTAAATATTGGAAGTTTCAGATGACTGAACCTATAGCTTGCCTTTATTAGACTCCCTGAGCCTTCAAATAGACTCCTGCTCTTTTTCTTTACCTTCATCTTTAAACCTCCTACCTCTCTTTGGAAGAAGGGCTACCTAACTGCCATCTCAGTGAGACAGGAGGAGGAGGAGGCATGGGCTTATGCCAGTGTTACCGTTTTACTGGCAAAACAGTTCCTAATTGTTTGATATTGTAGATTTCTTAATTCTGCGTGCATTATGTTGTCATGCATTATATATTATGTTGACTGTTAAATACATGATGTTTATAGTGATGGGTAATTGCTATAGAAATACCGAGTTGGCAGAAACATAATAATAAAGGTAAATGATCATTTTAACTACCTAGACAAATCTCACCTCTTGAGTGTGCACTTTAGTGTTTAGTGTCTGTCGTTATTGACTGGGAAATGTAGCTGCCTTATACAAACGGATGTCTTCCCAGTGGCACCAGCTGAGTTATTTAGCTGAACCTTTCCTGACAATGCCAGATCGAGCTGTTGTAACAATGAAAGCTCCTCTTTGCCTTTCTCTAAAATTTGACTGGTTAATGTTTGGGGAGGAATGTTGTTATTTCCCAGGTGACATAGGGGTAATGCATGGAAAGGCCCAAGTCTGTCTTTTGAATAGATCGCTGCGCAACACTATTAATTCTTTGTGTGCCCTGGCTGTAGTGAGAGATTTTTTTAGGTTGTGATATCTATCCATCACTTTTTCAAACCTTTCCAGTGATAAATCTTACATCTTTATCTTAAACAAGATAATAAAATTACAGTTCTACTGCTTATCCCATAGCATGTTGTCATTTATTCTTCTGTTTCATGTCATTTATAAGTCATTAGTTCTTTAAATGTAAATAATGTTTCTAACCTGTTGTCATATTTATGCGTTTTTATTAGGTGGACCCCACAGGAAAATATGAGAGTCTGGTGACGATACAGTCATTCAGAGCAGAATTTCGTTTAGCAGGAGGTATAAATTTGCCAAAAATAATAGATTGTGTAGGCTCTGATGGCAAGGAAAGGCGACAGCTTGTCAAGGTGAGGCTCCCCTGTTCTGGAGTGGTTCTTAGAGAACTAACGACTTCAGGGTCAAATTTAACACTAGCTGATATTTTCTTCCTGTTTTATTTGGGTCTTCATTCTTATTCTGAATAATCAGTTATAGGAATTAATGTATTTCTTCCTATAAGGTAAACTTATTATAAAGTAAACATTATTTTCTAGAACCAATTAAGTGAAAGATTATTGTTAACATGTGTAGGCATGAGGAAATTAATAATCAGCTTGCTTGTTTTGAGAAAAAAATTTTGATAGTGGCTGCTTATTTTCTTAACAGTCTAAAGTAAAGGCACTTGCGTCAGGATACTGGGCACTGCTAAATGCTTCGTAACGGAGCAGAGAGGGGTGGCATTCCTCCTTGACCGACTTTTCGCAGGAGCTCTTTAGTAGAGGTGCCCTGGTAGCACAGCATGTTTAGTGTTGGGCAGCTAACCAGGAGGTCAGTGATTCAAACCCAACAGCTGCTCATTGGGAGAAAGATGAGCCGGTCTACTTCTGTGCAGATTTATACAGTACAAAAGCCTTTGGAACCCTGGAGAGCAGTTATATTCTGCCCTATGGGGTCACTCTGAGTTGGAATCGGCATTAGAGCAGTGGAGGAAGACAGTGCTGCTGCAGCCGGATGCTGCGTTGCATGCTCAGGTCATTGTCAGCGAGCCCCATTCACAGCTGGGGAAAAAATGCTCCTTCTCTCCCAAACTGTAGCTCATGCTAAAGAAAGAAAGGCGGTAGCTCTTGTTTATTTTAAGGACTGTTAAGAGAAGCACCGATGCACAATTGAGCTTCGAGTGCCTTTCCGTTTTCTTCAACGGACTCTTGGAAAAGAAACTGGGCTGTGCTTATTTGTGGTTGATGGCTCCACAGGGCCGCGATGACCTGCGACAAGATGCTGTCATGCAGCAGGTTTTCCAGATGTGTAATACATTACTGCAGAGAAACACGGAAACCAGAAAGAGGAAACTAACCATCTGCACATATAAGGTAACCAGCCTGTTCTGCTGTTTCACCAAGAACACATAGGAGCTGTCATTACACGGGCCAGCAAACATTTCTGTTACGGACCAGATAGAAAACATGTTCGGTTTCTGGTTTTTCTCTTCAAACCTTCAAACCGTTAAAAACCATTTTAGCTCCAGACTGTGAAAAAACAAACAAACATTGGAGGTAGGTTTGTCCAAATGCCATGATTCCAACCTCTGCATTAGAAGCAATATCACATTTTATTTTTAAACGTATCCATTAATGTTGAGGTTTGATGATTCCTATACTCACCTAAAGTGTTTTCTCCCTGTTATTGGCCAAGATAAACATCAATGAATCAAAAAGTTGTGGCTGCAGTCTAGTAACAGAAAAAACCCAAAGAGCTGTCACTAAAATTGGGATCTCACGTGATGTGGCATTTTCCATTGTCGTCAGACCTCAGGGCCTTAGCAAGCGTTCACTTGATGGGTGCCAGAAGCGCTGCATACAGGTCAGCTTCCTCACAGAGGAGGGCTTTTCAGCAGTCACTTAAGCAAGATTGAGAGTACTGAAGACAATTGTGTGGGATGAATTGGACCCAAGACGTGTCTTAAACTAGTTTAATTCAAAGTAGAGAGATAAGCTCAGAAGGGTATGGAAACTACTTTTTGAGATCCCCATGGGGTAATCTTTTATATATATTCTCAAAACTAAATTTTATTTCAAATTGTATCTAGTTTCCACATATTTTTAATAGTTCTATTTTCTCTTAATAATCTAAACAAAATCTTTATCATGTCATCTTCGAACTTGTATAGCTGCTGATAAATAGGAATGCATAAGTAAATTCTCATACAGATTCTTCAAATATTTCATTTTATCCGCCTGGGGTCTAAGAGGTAATCTTGATAGATTTTTTTCTCCAAAGATAAAGACAATCACAGCTTATTAGGAAGAAATGTCAGGGAAATAGAAAACTGCTTTGATGATCCGAAGGCCAGGACAGTTGTTCCCTCATGACGATGCACCTGCTCCTCCCTTGAGGGTAGCGAGCATTTCCTGGAAACCTCACCCCCGTCCCCTCACAGCCCTGATCTTCCCCTCAGCCCGCTCTGTGCTCCCCAAACCCAGGCACCGAAAAGGAACACGGTCTGCGTCCCCCCTGGTTGCCCAGAAACTGCCCCTTTGTCGCGGTGAGAACTAGAGTGCAGAATCCTCCGGAGATTAAAGAGATGGAGCCTTGCCTTTAGCACTGTGCAGACCTAGAAGGAGGCTATATCAAGAAACAAGTACCTTCACATTTTGATACTTTTGTTTAATAACATTTTCTGTCATTTTGTAACAGTACTCTTGTCTTTTATATTTTTACAATAGAATAATAAAACCGTTCAAATGAATGACTGAGGTAAAAGTACAAGCATTTCTAAAATCAAAACAATGAGTGAATTGTAAAGACATGCATATAATACTCTGCATAACGTTTACAACTTTATGTGTAGATTTGAAATAAAAATATACAAAAATGTATGAATAAAAGTTATTATCCCAGAGAATATTTTTCAATATCTTAGACTTGATAAAGCTTTGCACTGAGTAGAAGACATTTATTCATACTTTTTTACTCGATGGTTTATAATAAGAAATCAAACCCACTGCCCTTGCACCAGTTCCACCTCACAGCGATCCTACTAGGTGTTTCTGAGCCTCTAAGTCTTTATGGGAACAGGTAACCTTCACTCTTTTTCCCAAGGAGCAGCTGGTAGCTTTGAACCAGCAACCTTGTGGTTAGGGCTAGGGCTCCTTCTTACGGTTTATAAAGGTAATAATTTTTTAACATACTTGACCACTATAATTGCTCATTTGTGCTTATCTAATGTGGGGATTGAGAGATGAGAAGGCTCTCAGAGGCCCCCCCCCCTGCCATTCCCATCTTCCACATCTGTACGTGGACCACCAAATGGGGCTGAGGTAAGCATGCTACCATAAAAAAAAAAAGTCATATTCTTTGAACTTGAAGTTTGTTTTCTCAAAGGAGAGGGCCCTGGCAGTGCAGTGGTTAAGCACTCAGCTGCTAACCAAAAGGTCACCAGTTCAAACCCAGCAGTTGCCCTTCAGGAGACAGGTTTGTCTGTGTGCTTCGTGAAGCTTCCTGCCTTGGAACCGTCGGGGCAGTTCGACCCTGTCCGGAGGGATCACTAGGACTGCAAAACAGCAGTTCTCAAGGGAGACTTGTTGCCTGCAGACAAAAATTTTAAAACAGACTGGAAAAAAATGCTTTTCACTGACTGATATCTGAATGGTCCACAAATGGCTATTGATGCCCTTCTCGCTCAAAAGCTCTTTCACTGGTCCCTTCAGGTGGTCCCCCTGTCTCAGCGAAGTGGGGTTCTGGAGTGGTGCACAGGGACCGTGCCCATTGGCGACTTTCTGGTTCACAGTGAAGACGGTGCTCATAAAAGATACAGGCCCCAGGATCTCAGTGCGTACCAGTGCCAAAAGAAAATGATGGTAAGTAGCATTCAGAGGTTATTGCAGTTACTCACCTGCTTACTACCGCTGACAGTTCTCATATAATGTGTAACATAACAAAAGTTTCATTTCATGAAGCACAAGTATTCTAAAATGAATGAAATTTATTAAGTATGCTAAATAAATGAAAGTAAGCTCCCCAGAAGGAAAGTGCATGTGAATGTACAAGGAAGGTTATTAAACGACTACAGGGCCAACGTTTGTCAGGAGAGAAATTCAGCTAATTACTATTCAGTGTGTGCTAATTTGTTTTCTATTTGCAGTAAGGTAAATCTTAGCAAAACAAGTGATCATCTGAAGGATTCGCTCTGCACATTGGCCATGCAGTCTACATTCGTTCTCCCCGTCTGCGCGTTTATGAATGCCTTCTGTCTGTGCTGAGGCCTCCCAAAGACCCTGACTAATCGATCATCACCATGATGATTCCCATTGTTGATGAGCAGCGACTCAGGAAACTTACTTGGGTCCATAGGCTAATAAATGACAGAGGGAAGGTTTGAACTTGGTCCAACTACAGAATCCACTTCCTCTTCCTTTTATTATTATTATTTTTTTCTGTTAAATGTTTTTAAAGTTTGTGAAAAAGTTTTATGGGCTTTGGGACAGTGTAGACACAGGAGGAAGTTTACCTGAATCAAGGTTTGAAGAGAATTAGAATCAAGGAAGGTTTCACAGAGGAGATGGTTGTCTAGCTCAGTTATGTAAGTGAGTTGGTGCTCCGGGCACAATGAACTACAAACAAAAGGAAGGAGGCATGAATCAAGAGTTAAAGACAATGTGGGCTTCGTATTTGAGGAAGAGTAGATAGATGTGGTTAGATGGTGTGTTAGTCTGGGTACGTTAGAGAAACAAATCCATAGAAACTCATATATAAGAGAGTTTTATAGAAAGGATAAGTGCACATCAAGGAAACATCCCAACTCAGTGCTGCCCAATCCCACAAGTCCATCATTAACCCTTTAACCCTTATGTCCTACACCAATCCACAAAGTCCTCCTCCTTCTCACAAAATACACACAATGATGTCAACTGCAGGAGGAAAGCCGAATCAGTGAACATGTAAGCATCTCAGTGCTGGCAAAGGTCTCCACATGGCTGCTCCCGCACCTGGGACTGCGTCAGTGTAAGTCCATGTGGTTTCTCCTCAGGGATATCTTGCAGGAAGTGGGCCTTGCCAGCTGAAGCAGGGAGCTGGCTAAGGCAGCTGCACCCTGGTCTGACCATCAGAGAGCAAGAGACGCAAGAACTAGAAAGGCGAGGCTCACCGAGCCATTTATCCCTCCGCCCTTCAATTAACCTCACGTGTTTATCTGCCAGGTTGGCACAATAAACTTTTAACTATATCAGATGTGATTAGAGCTGCTGTAGGAGAGGCTAACAAGTTTGGACTCTACCTTGTAGCCAGTAGAGAACCATTGGGAGGATTGGAATCTAAAATTTACATTTTAGATATTTATGGGTTCTGAACTAAGTCGAATAATGGAGAATATTGGGGTGGGTGGAGGTTGCTTGCAAGGGAATCGCTTTTGCCTCGTGGCAGCCCCGTGTGACAGGATAGGCCTACCCCATAGGAATAGGGGCAGGATTGCCAGGTCTTTTCTCCTGAGGCACAGCTGGACAAGATGATGGATGGGTAGATAGGAGAAACGTGAACAAGTCAGAACTGAGAGGATTTGGTTGCTGGTTTGAAGTGGGCCTGGGGAAAAGGAGCAGTCTGGTCCATGCACTGTTTGTTGGTGGGAGTGACTCAGGAGAGGGTGAGGCTATTGACCAAGTGCAGGTGGCTGAGGGTTGCCCAACATGGGAAGGTGGAACGCATTTGGATTTGGGGCGGGCAGTTGCGATCCCAGTGAAGGTTTTATGTAGACAGAGAAACAAATCAAGCTCAAGCTGAATAAATACACCTGGGCCAGAGGTGTGTGTTTGGAGTTCATCAGCATCTAGATCAGCGGTTCTCAACCTATGGGGCGTGACCCCTTAGCGGGTCAAACGACCCTTTCACAGGGGTTGCCCGATTCATAACACTAGCAAAATTACAGTGATGAAGTAGCAACGAAAATAATTTGGTGGTTGGGGGTCAGCAGAACATGAGGAACTTTGTCAAAGGCTCACGGCATGAGGAAGTTGAGAACCACTGGTTTAGAAGGAAGTTGAGGTCAGCCTGGCCTCAGGAAGTCTGTATCCAGAGAGGATGTTGGCACGCACAGTTGATTATTTAATTCTTCCTCGCGGGGTGCCAGCATGCCATCTGAGATGTGTGGATGCTGCCCTTGGCCCTTTGTGTTTATGCCTCCTGTATTACAGGACCATTCATTCATTAATTCCTTAATTCGGAAAACCAGTGACAGTCATTGCTGGTGACTCCTTTTCCGAAAGTTAATATGAACAACTAAAGGGAATGACACGTATACTTAATGGCTTCTCTAACCAGACTGTTAGCTTCTTAGGGGCAAAGCGGCTATCTTGTTCATTTTTTAATCTCCCTTAAACCTATTGTATTTTTAATATCGATATTTAGTATTGGTTCAGTTAACTGACACATATGAGAAAATAATTTTTTATGGTCTATTTGAAGGATGTGCAAAAGAAATCTTTTGAGGAGAAGTATGAAACTTTCATGGATATCTGCCAAAATTTTCAGCCCGTTTTCCGTTACTTCTGCATGGAAAAGTTCTTGGATCCAGCTGTTTGGTTTGAGAAACGATTGGCTTATACTCGCAGTGTGGCTACTTCTTCGATCGGTAATCTTCCTGAACATTTTAGCAGACTCGGTACTCTGACGTTCGAGCTTCAGGCGATAACCAGAGATCCTCGTCATCATTAGGTCCCTGTGTTTCTTGTTCATCCTCACTCTTTGAGTTGAAAATTGGCTTTTACAGGGAAGGCCCTGCTCCACGATAGGGAATAAGGCTGCTTATTTGCTGTATAGGGAATGTCTCCTCTCCTCTTCCTTAGTATATGGTTTCTACAAACGTTCTTTAGAAAATGACAAAGCTGATGGTGAACTCCATTGGACTTACTTCCTTTCATTAATATCCATTGGCCTAAAGGCCCCTCCTCCCGACTGCGCACCACAGCCCAGGGAGGCGGAGCTGGTAGCTTTGGGAGCAGCTCACAGGTTATTAGGTAGCATTCTTCCACACCGCAAAGCACTGGGATGATTCAACTCCTTTATGTATAAATTGGAAAGTTAATGACAGAACTAGATAGAACTCAAACACAGGAAGTTCAAGACTTCCCTTTGCAGTGTTTTTTCCCTCTAACACCAATATAATTCATGAAATTGAAGAATTTACACAGTACTTTCAGTAAGTACTTGAGGACATGTAATGTGTTGCTTTGGCCTCGGTTAAGTAACGGTTTTCAACTTTAACCACATTATTGTTAGAAGTAATAGTACTTAAAAGTAGGTGCCTATTAGCAAAGGGAAAACATTTTTCAGCATGCTAGCTAACATTTGTAGAAGGTAATGCTCATGGAAATCCACAAAATGTCCAATTATGTCATGATCTCCTAGTAAGTACACTAAAAACCCTAAGTGCTAAAAATGTATGTAGATGGTACTAGTTGAAGTTATGGCTAAATGTGTTACCAAACTAGCAGAAATAAGTGATTCTATGTTCTTCTTTTCCAGTTGGTTATATACTTGGACTTGGTGATAGACATGTACAAAATATCTTGATAAATGAACAGTCAGCAAAACTTGTACATATTGATCTCGGTAAGTAGCAAAAAGTCCGTTTTTAATCCACTTAGCAAATATTTGCTCATCAAGAAAAATTATTGGCTCAGTAGGATGTTTACTGCAAGTGTGAAAGAAACAGACAAAGCAAAAAACACTTTAAAAAATCATTTTGTTAGGGGCTCGTACAACTCTTATCACAAAAACCACTTTTTTAAAGAAAATCATTTTATTGGAGGCTGGTCCAACTCTTACCACATTCCATACGTACATACATCGTGTCAAGCACTTTTGTACATTTGTTTCCATCATCATTCTCAAAACATTTGCTTTCTACTTGAGCCCTTGGTATCAGCTTCTCATTTTTCCCCTCCCTCCCCGCTCCCCCCTCCCCCATGAACCCTTGATAATTCACAAATTATTATTATTTTGTCATACCGACATCTCCCTTCACCTACTTCTCTGCTGTCCATTCCCCAGAGAGGAGGTTGTATGTAGATTTTTGTAATCGGTTCCCCCTTTCTCCCTCACCTTCCCTCCACCCTCCTGGTATCACCACTCTCACCACTGGTCCTGAGGGGTTCATCTGTCCTGGATTCCCTGTGTTTCCAGTTCCTACCTGTACCAGTGTACATCCTCTGGTCTAGTCAGATTTGTAAGGTAGAACTGAGATCATGATAGTTGGGGGGGAGGAAGCATTCAAGAACTAGAGGAAAATTGTATATTTCATCGTTGCTACACTGCACCCTGACTGGTTCCTCTCCCCCCTGCAGCCCTTCTGCAAGGGATGTCCAGTTTCTCACAAATGGGCCCTGGGTCCCCACTCCGCACTCCCTCTCAATCACAATCATGTGATTTTTTTTTTGATGCCTGATGCCTGATCCCTTCAATGCCTTGTGATCTCAAAGGCAAAAAACACTTTTTAAAAGTTATAAGCATAGTAATTCTGAAAGGAATTGCTGCCTCAGTCTGGGTTAGCCAGTAAAACTGCTAGCACTAGTGACGTTTGAGTCAGGGCTTAACAAAAGGAGGAGTATTTCAGGCAATTTTGAGAGAAGGAATAATGAAGATGAAGGATCTTAAGGGAGTGGTAGGGAATTAAATGTAGCTGGAGTGACAGTGACCTGCTGTTGAATAGCTTGAGAAATTAGTTGGTACTAGACTTTCTCATTGTGGTTTTAATTTATATTCCTTTTCATGTGTTTATTTGCTGTTTGTATTTCTTCTTTGGTAAAAGATCTATTCCTACCTTTTCCCTATTTTGTAAATGGGTTGTTTGCTTTTACCGTTGAGTTTTGAGAGTTCTTTATAAATCGTAGCGACTAGAACTTTGATGGATTTGTGATTTACAGATATGTTATCCTAGCCTGTAGCTTGTCTTCTCATCTTAGCAGGGTCTTTTGCAAAGGAAACATCTTTACTTTTTATGAAGTACAGCTGATCAGTGTTCTACTTATAGACTGTGGTTTTGGGATCTGTTTTAATGCAATTTGTCTGAAAACTTCTGGCAGCCCCTTCATTGTTCATACAAACCCTTATAGTAGACCCCAAACTATCAAGATGTTCGTCAATGGATAAATGATTAAACAAACCATGGTACACTTATATCATGGAACACTGTTGTTGTTGTTGTTGTTGTTGTTGGGTGCCTTGAAATAAGTTCTGACTCATAGCACCGTATATACAACAGGATGGAGCATTGCCCAGTCCCACAGCATTCTCATCATGAACTCATTGTGCAACCACTGTCAGTCCATCTCATTGAAGGTCCTTCTCTTTTTCATGGGCTCTCCCACTCATTGACATTTTGTTGATGGTCTTCCTTATATGTCCAAAGTAGCCACACACACCACATTTTGTTTATCCATTCATCTGCTGAAGGACACGGGTGGTTTCTACCTTTTGCTACGGTGAATACTGCTGCAGTGACCATGGCAGTATCGGTTTGCATCCCCATGACAAGTCTCTTGGGTATGTGAATTGCTGAGTCTGACGGCAGGTCTGGGTATAACTTTTGAAGGACCCACCACTCTTTTCCCATAGCCACGGTATCATTTTACACTCCTAGCCACGCACAAGCTGTGACCAGTGGGGAGATGAGGTAAAGGCACGGGGATAATCTTTTATTCTGTACCAACTGCATGTGAATCTAGAATGCACTCAGAATTGAAAGTTTAAATTTTAAAAATAGTGTACATATATGTGCAACATCTACGTCTTAAATTCTACCAATAATTTTTTAACGCACCTAGACTTCTCTAATTACAGCTAGTCATTTGAACGTGGAGAGGATCTCCTAGGCCACCGGAGAGGTGGTAGAGCAGTGGTAGGGTAAACTGCTGTGTTTCTGACACTCCTAGATGTAGGCACTGATTATTCTGTCCCTGGGGGCTTTCACTTGCCTTTTGGGGAACAAAACAAATCAGTTGTCAGGTCTCTTCATCTCACTTTTTTTTTTTTTTTTAACTTCAGGGGTTGCGTTTGAACAGGGTAAAATTCTTCCTACTCCTGAAACGGTTCCTTTCAGACTCACCAGAGATATTGTGGACGGGATGGGCATCACTGGGGTGGAAGGCGTCTTCAGAAGGTAAGTGATGGAAGGGAAAGGGAGGTAGAGGGTTTTGGTGTCAGTAGTATTTGGATTGTAGCTTTCTGTACATCATAGGATTCTGTTCTGGGCCTTTAGCTGTGCCGAGAAAAAAGACCCTGGCCCAAGGACAAATACACTCTCTTTTCTTAAACCAGCTGAGGCCTAATCCAAAATAGCATGTAAAAGGGCTTCAAGATTTTGTGGTAAAGTCGAGTTAAAAAAGAATGGAGATTGCCCACAAAATTTTTGAAGCTCCCTGTATATGCTCTGGAAGCTACATCTTCTTGCTGATAAATTCTGTATTGAAGCTAACTTTTTTTTTTAATCAGAACTGTCTTTGTTCAGGATACATATATAAAAAACTTCATTTTTGCCTTGAGTTTATATTGTGTGCAAGTTCTCGCTACAGGAGTTGCACAGTTCCTATCAGGTTTCCAGCGTATGTCTGGGTGCTCATAGTTGCTACGACAAAGACCAAAAAAGGCTCCACAGTGTCGATATCCCCTTAAAAGTGCTAAGTGTATGAGATACTCACTTTGATCATTGTATTCATTCCAGAAGCAGCCATTGAAAGTCTGCTCTTTGAAGAACTATGCCCTTTGAGATAGGCAGTTGGGAATTATTCACATGAGTCATGTCAGCATCCACTACATGAGCGTCTACAGATGTAAAGATAGGTTGAAAGCAGCGATGTGCAACAAGATGCACAGGTATAACGTGTCTGTGACTCTGCAGGTGCTGTGAGAAAACGATGGAAGTCATGAGGAGCTCTCAGGAAACCCTCCTGACCATTGTAGAGGTAACTGTCTCCAGGAGACCTTTATTCTGCTACCTGGCAGAGAGCGAGAGTCTTCTGATTGGAGGCGCTCTCTCACTCGACTATGGGGCGGTGAGGCTGAGCTGCAGTTGGTAGCGGCTGCACAGCTGAAAGCGTTCTCACTTCAGTAGTGGTTTAGAAATGCTCCCGTCCCTCAACGTTCTTCGTCTGTAGCCTTTAAAATATCAGTCAGCACTCCACTCCGACAGCTTAGATAGCCATGATGGTGGTGTTTCTAGAATGGTTTCCACTGGGGTTGAAAGGAGATCAGTAAATGCGATCTTCTTAGCCAGGTTTAGAACCGATTAGACGGGTGGAGATTGAAGGGGTGTGGTGTAGGAGTGATGGTTAGACTGGTTGGCTGCTGCAAGTACCACTCTGCTGTTTTAGCCCCGGGGGCAGCCCACCTCAGTAGGGGTTGGGGCCTGTACAGCATGCACACTTAATCAGGATCACTGCTCATTTGATCCCGGACAGAACAGGAAGAAAAGCAAATGCCCAGTGCTCATGGTGTCGGATCATAGCGATCATAAAGGACAGAGTAGAACTACCCCTGTGGGTTTCCAAGACTGGGTCTTACAGATGCAAATGACCTTGTAGTTAGCAGTCCAGTGTGTAGCCCCGTTGATTCTAAAGCAGTGAGTTTGGTGTTTTGAGACATTAGCTCTACCCTACCAAGAATTGTGTATCTATGACAACCATCCACCAACCGGGCTGTTTAGTGAGAGAGAGCTTTCAAAAACCCAAATGTTCCTGCTCCTTCCCTAAATATGGTCTGTGGTTTGAATTTGGTCAGTAGCAGTGTTTTTAAAAAGTAGTAAAGGTGAAATATCAGGACAAAGGTGGTGGTGGTGGGGGGGACCCTGAAGACTGTCTAGGAGGCTGTGGTCAGCAGAGGGAATACTGGTCCCCTGAACCCCTCACTGTCTCTGAAAGCAGAGCACTTCTATGAAACCTTTCCCAAGTTGACATGGTGTAAAGCAAAAAATCAGTTACCATTAATTTACATGGGAAAAGACTCCGAGCATTCCCAGACCCAAAAAAGAACTTTCCAAATCTAATCAGCCAACACACAGAACCTAAAATAGCACTTAACACATAGTTCTCAAAGCCCGAGTCACAGCCACGCAGCCTGACAAGGAGTGTGGTCCCTGGAAGGAGTTCGGTGGTGGCACTGTGCTAGCTGCCCGTTCCACGCTGCCTCTCTAGGGCTCGCAGCAAACATGCTGGACACGAGCTGTCTCTTTACCTTTCTCATAAAATGGAAAATCCTCTGCAAATGTACAGACAGCTCGTAGGGTGGGTTTTTCGTAAGAGAGAAGTGGTGAAAAGCAAACTTTGAGAATTGACAACCTGCTAAAGTCCCCCTGGGCCCATCTGTATGAGGCAGCATCTCGATAGAACTTCTGTGCACGTGTGGGGCTGGGATGGGTTTTGGTCCAGGAAGGCTCTGAAATGGGTGTGAGTAATATGCTGGACATAATCAATCTAAGGCTGTGCTTTTCTCCAGGCTGAAAATCCATTCTCTTTTCTAGCTCCCATTTCAAATTATGTGCTTACCTGTTGGCATTCATTGCAAATGGCAAGTGTTCTTTAGTAAGAGCAAAACAACATGGACACATGAATGTAGAAACTCCAGTTCAAAATGAAATTTTCTTTTGCACTTAAGACTGAAATTAAGTACTAAATTTGCAAATTGGTTGAAGGTCCAAAGACGTTGCATGCACTGCCCAGTGTTTATTCTACTCCGTCTCTGGCAGAAGGGTCCTTTACGCCTGAGTAGACTGGATAGCTCCTACATTAGCCCAAGAGTCGCTAATGTCCAGACCAGCTCGTATCGTGCATCACAAACAGGTTCGAAAGGGACATGACTGCAATTAAGAAAACTTAAGTACAAAAGAAAACAGGATATAGTCGAATTGTGGGGGTCTCTGAAGGATGGACACTTCGAGCCTAGAGCTTTTTTTATAGGCAAGGTTAGATAGTCTTTAAGGCCAACATGTTACATGCCACGATTACACAAAGGGCGATGTACAAATTTTGAGGCATACAAAGGATCATTTATACTCTAGACAGGAGGGGAGGCTGAGGCTGGCCGCATGAAGTGACTGATATGTTTGCAGGTGGCTGCTTTCTGCAGCTTTTGCCATTTGATCGCAGGCGTAGAGACAGACCAAGTCACTTCAGTCTGCTCTCCGGGGTGAGCTGTCAGCCCCCTTCCACAACAGTGGGCTGTGGCAGTCCCGTTTCATTCGCCTGAGGGACAAACAGCTTTTGCCCCACAATCATCCAATGGCAGGAGAGACAAATATAATGTCAGACTAGGGAAGATCTACCCTAGTCTGAGGCTCCTGAAGAAGGACTCGGGAAGTAGGGCGATGTTTTCATTGTTCGTAGATCCGATAGTAAGCTTCATTGTTTAGAATGGGGCATATCAAGTTAGGGGAGAACAGTGGCCAGACCACATTGGGGTGCTGCACCATTGTAAGGATTTTACTCCGAATGAGATGGAAGCCCTATTTCCTGGAATCACTTGTCATGGCCGCCCCATCTAAAGAGCAGTTTGCTGCCCAGTGCTCTTCCGCTTTAGGAGCACCCTGGATCTCTGTCCTTTAGAATGGTGTTTCTGCTCTTCCCTTGGATTCATTTCTGTTTCTGTTAGATTTCATTGAGCCACCGTCACCGTGGCTACTAACAAGGAAAGCATCTCCCCACTTCCTAAATCCTTTTTTAGGAGCCTGTTGACTTGTGTACATCTTCTTTCTCATTTGTGTCTCCTGGACTTTAAGATCTCATTTTCCACTTCATAGTGGACCATTCTGCCCTCTAAGATCTTATCCATTCTACCAAGGAAATATTTCTCTTCCTATGGTAACCCATACATTCCCAAACTTATTTGGCTTATTCACCCATTTTCAGAAAGAAAGAAATTACTCAGTGCCCTCCTGGTAATGAAAAACTTTTGCAATGTACCCCATAACCCAGGATAAAGTATAGGCATCTGCTTTTGCAGCCTCCTGGATTGTTCCAGTGTCCTCTCAGGACACCGTGTGTGTGTGGTGTGTTAGTCTGGGTAGACTAGAGAACAAATTCATGGACTCTCATATGTGTGTAGGGAAGAGCTTTATATACAAGAGCAGTTGAATATTGAGAAAACATCCCAGCCAGGTCCAGATCAAGTCCATAAGACTGATATTAGCCCATATGTCCGATATCAATCTATAAAGTCTTCAGACTCAAGAAACACATGCAATGATGCTGAATGCAGGAAGATCACAGGGTATTGGGTGGAAAGTCATGTGGATCCAGTGGCGGTAGAAGCATCTCAGCACTGGCAGGGTCTCCACATGGCTCCTCCAGTTCCCAGGACAACAGGGTCTATCATCATAATGCCATGTGTCATGTCAGTAGCATGTCTCTCAGGGAGTGAGCAGAGAGAGTGTCTCCCACCTCCAAGGAGGAAATACTGGAGTTCCCAGAATCCTCAGGGAAAGGCCATGCTTACACAGAGGCCTCATTGGCTGTATCCTGATTGACAGGCTAGACTCCACCTTTAAACTCTTAATCCTCTCAAATTGACAACAGATTATATAACTACCACAGGGTGGTATTACCCATTTTGTGAAACACTGCATTAAGTAGTTTTTATAAATAAGGGAAGTTTTATCCCTAAGGGGATATTTGGCAAGGTCTGAATTTTTAAAATGTTATGCAGGAAGCATTTTATAATCTTCATCTGCAGCCTATTCAAACAGAACAAACACTGCCATCAAGTCCATGGCATCTCACAGTGACCTACAGGACAGGGTAGAACTGCTCCCGTGGGTTTCCAAGACTAACGTGAGTTTCCTGTGGAATAGTTAGTGGTTTCGATCTGCTGACCTTGCAATCAGCAACCCAACTGGTAACCACTACACCATCTGGGCTCCTACAGCCTACTAGGAAACCTAATTAAGGCGGCAGCCAAAAATGTTCTGCCCTCATAACGCTGTGATATTCTACATAATCACTCTCCCCAGTAACATGGTAACTTTTGATATGAGCTGACAATTAAAAATGTTTGGTACTTAAAAATACAAGGGGTGGTTAGCTGGACTAGATAGCCAAGATTAAAAAAAAAAAAATCTCATCCCAAACTGCTCACTTATTAAAATATGAAGCTTTAAAAGTTACTTATTTGGGCTACGCCAGTTATTTTGGTACCCAAATTCTGTTCCTTATTTCGATCTCAAGTCTATCTTAAGATCTCAACCACAGTACCAGGACCCGAGGCTTTCTGGAAGATTCAGTAAATTACACCTTTTCCCCCTCCACCTGTGTTTGGAATGACTTGAGAAAGAAAAGACCACAGGAGTAGCTTGGGGAGGAGAGTGTCAGTGTTCTTACTAATGAGCCGTGTGTGAAACATGGCTTAGGAATGAGGTACAAATGACTTGCTAGTGTTCCCTACCTGCCTACTGTCCGCCTTGAGGAAATTGGGGCTTGCTGCGAAGCAGAAGCGCTTAACCCGGACCACACTAGTCAAAGAGCAGAGCGTGAAGAAAGGGAGGGCTGATAGCTCCCCCGCCCTCGTGTCCCCTAGTCAGGAAACAGCGTGAGCTGGGGGTGGAGTGGGCGACGCACTGAGCTGCAAACCACACGGTCAGTGCGTCCAACCTGCCCGTTGCTCTGAGAGAAAGATGATGCTGGCTCCTTCTAGAAAGATTTAAAGTCTTGGAAAGTAAAGGGGGCAGGTCGACTCAGTCTGAGTGGGCAGCTACGAATCAAAATGGACTCCAAAGCAGGGAGTTTGAGTCAAGAAACCTGCACTAAAAGATGTCCTTCCTCAGCCATGGAAGAGAATGAATTGAATTCACTTCACAGAAAACACCAGACAGTTCCCAGTGACTCACCACTGACTCTGTTTATTGTACTTATTATATTTATATATTTCTAAATGCATCTTCCAAATGCACATTTTTCTTCTAATACATATGCCCTCTCGATGTAGGTCCTCCTCTATGATCCTCTCTTTGACTGGACCATGAATCCATTGAAAGCTTTGTATTTACAGCAGAGGCCCGAAGATGAAACCGAGCTCAACTCCACTCTGAATACAGTTGACCAAGAATGCAAACAAAATCTCAGGTGAGTAGTATTTTAGGAAAGATTTAAGACCAGTGATTCAGAATGTCCTGTCCCCAACGCCCGTTTACGTTGTTCTGCATCATTGAAACCTGACCTTTGTATTTTTGTCATTAGTGGCATCGACCAGAGTTTCAACAAAGTAGCTGAACGTGTCTTGATGAGACTCCAAGCGAAGCTGAAAGGCGTGGAGGAGGGCACTGTGCTCAGCGTGGGGGGACAGGTGAACCTGCTCATTCAGCAGGCCATGGACCCCAAAAATCTCAGCCGGCTTTTCCCAGGATGGAAAGCATGGGTGTGATCTTCAACACAGGACTCCCTCGGCAGTTCCACCGTTAGGAATTAGATTCTGGCCACCCACATACTTGGAAAAGCAGGTGTTACTTTTTCACCCATGTACTGCTACGCTGGTTTTAAGAATGCTTACTGTTATTTTAAAACCGTGAAGGAGGCCTTGATAGTCTCCAAAGGCGGCTGTTTTCTCAAAGTTTAGAAATGCCATGCTCCGATATTAAACATTTCTATTTCTTCTCAAATACTTGTATCATTTTTCAGTAGCATCACTCACATTTTAGCGGAAGCCCATGGAAGAAGGCGTGTGCAGCTTTCATATCACTTCAAGGCTAACTGTAAGAGTTCGGCTAGTTTAGAGGTCGCTTTTAATTAGAACCTGTTCACTATTACAAAATCTATGGATGACAATTCCTTGATAACTTATAAACCAAAATCATTGCCATCAAATCAGTTCAGAAACCTAGCAACCCTATAGGAGAGAGGCTTGAAATCTTTCCGGGAACAAACAGCCTCATCTTTTCCTGCAGAGTGACTGGTGGGTTCAAACTGCTGACTTTGAAGTGAGTAGCCCAGTGCACAACCAACCCACTCTGCCACCAGGGCGCCTTTCACAGGGGTGGACTCTATAACCATTTCCTTTGTATCATGGTAAAGCTCACATCTATTAAAAATAAGCAGCAGTATTCAAACAAGTAGTATTTAAGAAATGTGTTTGAATTTTCAGTAGCAAAATTTCCCAGTGTTTTTAATCAAGTTATTATATTTCATTGACAGTGTGGTTACTCTGTTATAAAAATATACATTGTATCTTCTTTTTCTGTTCTCTAATTAGTAAGCTCTTCTTTGCTTGTTTCTTTATCTTTTTATGGTACCTTTAAGGTTTTTTTCATATTTGTCTTCTAGTTCATGATTTATATTTTTAGCTGTTTATAATCTCCTACATTCAGCTGTATATAATCTCCTTTTTAACCTATGTATTGGGTTTCTTTGAAAATGTTTTGATTTTTAATTTCCACTTATGTATGATTACTTAGCTCTGCCTATTTATTTAATGGTATCTAGTTTAACTTCTCAATTCCTTCTTTTATGTTGCTCATCATTTTAAGCATACTTAACTATATTTTATAGCTCTACTGGGTGACATTTTCAGGCACCTGATCCTGATGATTCTTGTATTTGGTGGACTCTTCCCCTTGTGTTTTGTAATTTTGAAATGTAAAAATCCAAATCTGGGAACAGATCTGGAATATCAGATTCCTAGAGGATAAGGCTCTCCCAGTCCAGTGCAGACACACGTTTGTCACCTCCGTGTGCTAGTGGACAGAAAGTTCCACTGACAGGCCTTCACTGCGGGGTGCCTTCTGCGTGTCCCACCTTTCTAGCAGGGAGGGTGGAGTGGTGCATCTGACTCCTGCTGTCTACCCATGCGAGTCTAAGCTTTCTCGGTTCCCAGGGAGACGTAAAGCTGAACCACATGGGATAACGAGATAGCACAGTGGGCCAGGACAGCGACAGCATCACTCACACCGTCTGATTCTCTGCTTCCTTCTCTTTAGCTATAAAGATTTCCCCTTTTTAACCTAAGTCTCACTGCCCATTTCAAAGACCCTTTGTTACATTTTACCCAGCATCTCTATGTTTTTTGTTGGAAGAGGAGGACTATCCAGCCTGGTATGTAGCCAGGAATTGCCTTTTTATTTCCTGCCCCTGTTCCCTCCTCAGATGAGCAAGTAAATCCTGCTTATTAGTGAACACCTAGCATTTAACCCACCTCCGTCCTGTAAAAATGTTGATACAGTGCCTTGCAGAGATTAAGAAATGGATGAGTGAACGTTCCTCCTGTTTATGTCTTAGAAGGGTAACAAAAAATCCATTTTCATTATGAGGTGTTGGCAGTTAATTTTACTGCCAGTGCCAAGTGCTCACCCACCTGGTCTCCCCCTCGCCCCCCGCCCCCCCATCCCTCACCAGCCTCCAGAACCTTTAGGACTACAAATTTCTAGGTTTGTTTCTAGTAAGCATCTTTAAATCTTTGTGTGTCTTAAGTTATAAAGTCACCTTGATTTGTCATTTTCTTGTAAACTAACAAATTTTATTTGGCAATTTCTGGTTGTTTTATTACTATAGTTAGTGATCAAGAGGATACAATAAACTTAAAATGCCTTCATTTTAAAGAAAGCCTTGGAATTTTTACAGTTAGAATAGGGCAATTGGCTACAAACTCATTTACCCTGATAGTACAGGTAAATGAGTTTATAGCTAATTCAAGCTACTCGAAAGAGCTTTGAATAGCAGATTATCAATCCACCATGCAACCCTGACTAGCATACTTTAAGATGCCCATGTAATAAAAACTTTCTTTCCCCCCAAAACCATTTTATTGGGAGTTAATACAGATGTCATATCATTCCACACTTTAATCACATCAAGCAGTATTGCACAATTGCTGCCACCGTCTATTTTAAAACATTATTTTCCTTCTTGAACTCCTTGACATCAGCTGCCTTTTACCACCACCAATGTAACACACACACACACCCCAAACCTTCATATTACTTGCTGTCCCTATAGGTCCAATCAGTAATGTAAACTTTCTCATCACAGTTAAGCAAGTCACACCAGATTTGCAAATAACAACCCTAACTCTCAGAAAACCAAGCATGCTACTACTGAGTGGATTCTGACTCAAAGTGACCCTATAGAACAGAGTCGAACTGCCCCTTTGGGTTTCTGAGACTGTAAATCTTAATGGAAGTAGAAAGCCTCATCATCCTCTCTTGGAACGGCTGTGAGGTTTGAACCACTGGCCTTGCAGGTTAGCTGGAATGCTATTTGGAAATGAGCAAGATAGGCATTTATCAGGAACACAGGAGAAATAATTAGGTTTAAGAAAATATTAATCATAGTTGCAACAAAACCTTTAAAGATTTATGTTATTATCCCAGCTTACATTTGGAGATATGAGGTAATTTGTCCATGATACAAAGTAATAATCTGTAAATAAAAGTTTAATATTAAAAAAAAAGTTTAATATAGACAGACTCTAACTTGAGACTATTTCAAGTGATGCAAATCACAAGGTCAATAATAATGTAGCCTGCTTAAACAGTTGTGTCAAAATCAAGGACAACAGTAGCCCTCCCACTGTGTCTCATGCTGGTCAGACCCTCCCAAAGTGGTTCTTGTGTCTCAACTGGCTTCTAGATGTTTATGTATCTGGTGTACCCTGTGCTCTTTGGGTTTCCACAAAAGGTAGACTCTGCTTTCTCTAAAAAGCTATGTCTTGGGAGCCATTTACATGACAAATTTTATTCTTGAATCTTTTGTCATCGCATGTGCATACCGGGAATGCATGCTCAGTGTGCTTCTACTTGGAGTTTTATGTCTGATTGTCCATCTGCACCTCACTGGGCAAGCAGGTGTCACAGGAGCTGAAGACACAATAAGGGAGATAGGGGTTGCTTACTAGGCCATTCAGGGTGTGGATTTATTTTCTGGGGAGTGGACCAGGAACCCAAGCTCAGTTACTTAAAGTCAGGTACATAAATACATGGTCCTTGTAGAATATGACACGCAACATTTTTATTTTCTTTAGACCATGTTTAAATTGTTACCATTTGGAAAGGTCAGTCTGTATTAATAAGTTGAAAGCTAGTAAGTATGCTGGCTTCAAATATAGAGTTATATGTCATTTTTATATTGCACCGTAATGAAATCATGTATTTTATATAGGCTTATTGTAGTATTATGGAATGTACATGTTTACACTGTTACCTGAATCCACTTATTAAATGCATTTTGAATAAACATTTCTAAAGAAGTTGCAAGACTCACTCATTTTATTAGTATATTTGTGTTTTCTGTGTACTGGGCATGGTGTTGGCCCTAACGATATAAGAGTGAGCAAGGCAGGTATAGGCTTTCCTCACAGGTTGGGGGAAATGGGCAACTTAAAATGCAGTGTGAACTGAACAGAGCCAGACTGCTGTGCTGCATCTCAGTTTAAATACTCTGGCAGGTGAGTTTTGATTTTAATTACCCCATGGCAAAAAGGGGAATAAATTGTTCTTTGTTTAGACCTAGAAGGTGCTCTAGTTGTCTTTCTGCAGACTGAAAGGTCTGTACTAGGTGTGCAAGGTGAAGTTTGCAGTCCATACGCCTACCATGTCGTGAAGGAAGTTCAGTCCCCTTGCCACAAGAAAATGTGACCACTTCAAAAAGTTCATGGACTATTTCCAGGGGGACCCCGTAACCATGCAGTAGAAGTTCTCACAAAAGATTTGGTTCAGGTGAGAAATGTGAAATTCAAAATTATTCTCTACAAACCCCTTTGCTTGTAAAATACAGCATATGTAGTTTTCTGTTCAGCAATATATATGTTTAAGTGTTTGCTTTTCACACTGAAGTACAGTGTATGATTCCCAACCAGGTCAGGTGCCCATAAAGGGCAACATTTGAAGATCACAGACAAGGAAACCAGGGTAAGAAACAAGGATGCACCTGAAAGGATATGAAAAGTGTATGATCCTTACATACCACTTGGATGTCCACTGGAGCATCTGCTACAAACTTGACACGCCACAGCCAGCACATGAGCTTTCCCCGGGCCTGTGCATGGAATCGTGAGGGCCTGGATGGAAGCCAGCAGCAACCCCTCCATGAACCGGAAGCAGTTCGGAGTCACATGGAGTCGCCATGTGACTCCAGCCTGGCCAGTATCTTGACTATAACCTGAAGAGAGATTTCAACCCAGAGCCCCCCAGCTAAGCCAGTCGGGATGCCTGAGCCTCAAAAACCGATGTAATAAATTACTGGTTTAAGTTTTTGGTAATTTATCACACAGCATTAGATAATAAATTCACCCTTCCCTAAAAGAGGAAATGCGAATATAAAGAATTACATGGGGTATAGAGTAAGATTAAGATTTGACTTTGCCTGCCTACACCAGAGGA